TCTCGTTTTCTAAGTCATCGCCTACCACACTGGATTTAATGTGTATATCTAAAACCTTGAGTACGTCGTATCCTAGTCATCGTCTATCACACTGGCTATAATGTGTGTATCTAAAACCTTGAGTATGTCGCATTCTTCGGTTATTCCCTCTCTATAAATGATGAGAATCTCAAACTCATCGTTTTTTTCGACATAAAATAATGATATAATTGCGAGTAATACTGTCATTTTTCCACGATATGCTGCACGTGTTCCCTTCCAATTGGAACTTAAGACGGTGTCTGTATTACATAATAAACCAATGAACATTGTCATGCAGTTTATGACCAATTTTGTCAAGAATTATGATGAGGCTTCTGCTTTAAGACGGTATCTGTATTTGTGATCAGTGGCCGTCCTGGTCTCGGTACCGAAACATGTGGGTTAGAGTTCGATATGGCTAAACTGACTAGAAACAACAGCTAGACTGGCTGTAAACACTTTGCTCCTACTACCCGTACAAGGCCAACTACAGTCACATAAAATAGTCAAAAATCATGCTTTACCAGAATGCGATTGGTAGATATCATGATAGGACAGTTTTGATAACAAGGATAAACATGATAGGCCGAAATTAACTATCTGCGATTGGATAACTGCTTCTATTCAGAATCCGAAAAAATTTCTAACAATAAACATGCCTTCGGAAATACAAGTAATTGTATATGAACATTCTATATGTATACCGCGGAAAGTTAAAATGGACATTACAATATCAAACACAGTCTACATTATATACAACCGGGTTACAGTGATTAGCGGCCACCGAACACCGCATCAGCGGCCGCATCTACGCACTACGGATCGGAACGCGAATCGTCGTAAAACGATAATGGTCTATTCGATCACGAAACCGATAACTATACGGTAAACTCTGTTACTTTCCCGTTTCTGGGACCTTGAGTACATTTGCATAGGAGATGACGCCGTGTGTTACGATATTACTACTAACAATCACGAACAGAATAAACAATATTGTACTACTCATCTACGCAGAGAAGGCAACAACTTTATTGCCAAGTTACTTTGTAAGAGTGATCATGTTCCACTACCTACTAATTACACAGTGCCTTGATACAGAACACGTGCCATGATTAAGATATTAGCGCCTGAACTTATTCAATATACGATACTATATATACATTACAATTAGAAGCTAACGTCATAGAAATTGTCCACGGCGATGATATCGAAGCAGGACACTAATTTTTCCTATCATCCAGTAAAAAAAGATGTACATTAACGCTAATAAATGTTTGTCTGCCGGTAACTTCAACCTACGTTCTTGGTCGACAAATTGCCGAGAACTGGGCGATGTTGTGCAGAACGACAAGAAATTAAACGACAAAAACAACTGGTGTACTCGGTATGGGTCTCGTTTTGCGTCGACAACTTGAATAGTGCAAGTTGCGTCGTTTACTGTGTGTGTGTGTGTGGGGGGGGGGGGCTCGTTTGCTTCGTCAACTTGGAAAATGAAATGTCGCCATCTATAAATTACCGCGACTACTACAACTCGCTTTGCCGAAGACTGTGAATAAGTTTTGCGCTGATTGCTACTTCTACGTAGACATCGAAAATCGCATTTTGTTGAAGAAGCAGCATAATTTTGAAGCTATATGTTTCACCATGCAATTTATATTGAAGCAGTAGGGTCCCGTACGCCTTTTCATAACTAGGTGTGTTATGGAACACTGAAGCTGACACGTTAACATACACATTTATTTTTAAACAGGAAAACTCATAAAAAGCTGTTACTATAAACAGTACATCACATGGCCCCGTTACTAAGCGACAAGTTGCCCGCACCACTCAGTTGAATTGAATATATCGATACGTTCACACCAAGTCAAACCCTCTGATTTACTAACCAGAGGTATAAACTTTGTTGACCTTCTGAGCAAATCATTTTGGATTTCTGACACATGACCGCGTACCGATTTGTTAATAAATAGTGCAGTTGACGAACCAAATGAAACAAACATCAATCTCGAGAATATAGTCGACCTAACTAGCTTCAGCACACTACAACGACCACTATGAGTTATTGTGTGTATTCGTCGTTCCTTCGATAAATTTCTACCACTAATTCGCCGATTTTCCGCTGAAGAAATCACCAAAGCTGAAGCTTATCGTCATCAACTCCATAACAACACACGTTTTGGTGTGCTACTAATACAATTGTGTTTATTCATGGACGATTGTTGAATTTTGAGGTATGGCAGCAGCATACACTCGCAGATATGAACTTTACTAATAAATCTCCTGCATTGTTACCAAGCAAACACTATTTCACTGTGCTACGTGTACATGTCCGTCCAGAAGATGAACGCTTACACCTCAGTGGGAAACAGGCTGTCATAACTGCTATTTCTTCACATTATTGGATTACAAACATCATACAGATGTTAATTACATTATTCGGCGCATTGTCACCTGTAGGCGAGTCGACGGTAAATCTTACAATGGACCGCTTACTGCGCCGCTTCCTAGGTATTGTGTGACTGTGACTGGACCCCCCCCCCCGTTTACTGTCACCGTTGTTGATTTTACTGGTGCCTTGTACGTACGTACCCGCCAATCAGCAAAAGTATGTGTGGCACTGCACTCAAGAAAACTCCCCACAATTCTAAACAAGATTGGTGCACTGGTCGACGGAATATCTCTCGGCATTGCAAGAAAGACAAGCTTTCGCAGCTGACGGAAATAAACACAACGCCATTAAGGTTGGTGACGTAGTAATCGTACATGATGACATCAAACGTCGATTCAAATGTAACGCCACGGATCTACCAAACGCCCGATACATAAACTGTACATACAAGGATTTAACATACAATTTGATGTCGGAATTAATTCCTGTACATATATCGATGTCACATCGTTAACTACAGATATCGTTGTTGGATTATCCGCAGTGACAACGCAAACTACAGATATCAGATTAAACACTCAAGGCGAAGGCGATTAGACACAACCCGAACAGATCTAACCACCAAGAAAGCGGATGATACCACCAAGAAATGATTTGCTTAGTTTTTGTTTCACGATAATCTACTGGAATACCACCCCAGGGAGTCAATTTACACATACCCCATATTTGTGCAGGAGTTCATATGGGTGGTGGTATCACCTCTGAAATGAACTGAACTAACCCCATTTCTAGACCTACCTCGATCAATTTCTTGATTTAAAAGGCTACGCAATCGTGCAACTCATAAAACAACATTATTTTCATGCTATCATTTTATCTACAAATTAGTGTCTTGTTACTATTGTTGGTAGAATCTAAACTATGGCCAAGCGAGGTACGATATTTTCCGCGAATTCAAAGCTACGCCATTGCATTCCAGTGCTGGTACAAAATCTACACCGCCATATTTTGGCGAGAGACCACATTCCCGAAAGATTATTGAAATTATAAATATAATTCTCGAAATTAGCTAATCTGAAAAAGACTACATATTTTGCGAAACAATATCTAAAATGGGTTTGCATTTTCACAATTTTGCCTGTTTAGAAAATGGGTATAAGGGTCTGTCTGAAGGATCTGCCTACATAGCCCTATATCTGTCCAGCGTTGTACTCACATAAACACGTGTATACTGGGTTTTGATTTTATCATTTAAATCGTGTGAAACGACAAGCAACGTCTATCCGTAATTAGCTATAATCTAAGACCCACCGACTGTATGTACACTGTGCTATGTGTTCGGACTCTGGTGTTACATGGCTGGTAAAATTATCTACCCTAATCAGTTAATTAAACTAAAAAACTTACCGTGTGTGTGTTGGGTGTGTTTGGATTCGGTGGCCAGCAAACGTGAAGATACAGGCGTTATACGGATTACGATGAAACAACGTTGACGAGGAAGCAGTAAAGCGTTGAGATGTGGTAAGTCAGCTGGCTGTGGTCTCTATGTAAACTTATTTCAATATATATAGTATTTATAGCAATGCTGTAAGAATTGGTTAATGATTGACGAATATAATCATGTCTTATCAGACAGGTATTCATCATATTATAAATTTACTACAACGCTCTGTATTCCAGTCTGGTTCACAGTATTTAATTAAAATGACGTCCATGTTACTGCATTTAGATTGGTGGCATTGCACTTGGTAGTTTTATTGAATTGTCATATCGCCTTAGAAATACACATACTAATCAACAGGTGCCTATAATTAGGGATAGAAAATTCTCACCACTAGGAGGAAAACCTACGCTCAAACCATAATCGAGATGGACTTTATACATGCTATGCAATGTGTGTATCACGTGACATCAATCAATCAAATTATATACAGCATCTATTGCCTCGGTCCTCTCAGTGACCTTTCTCTTTGTGGGATTCGTGTCAGAAGGTACCAGTATGTCAGAAATCCAAAGTTTAGTCAATTTCCAAGTATTACGCCCACCTTATAAGCTTTTAAATACATACGTAATTTACATAGAAAGGGGAATACTTTGTGAAAATAAAGAAATACTTAATACATATACTGCATGCACCAATTGTTACATTCATCGCAATGAGAGCAGCCTGATTAGATGACAAAGAATATACCTGATGTGAGATTTGTCACCAAATACTATGGTACCGAAGACATTATAATTCCCGAGAATCAGAATGACGTCAGATGCGATTTTGCTGTGGTATGAACTTGAATGTCTTAGACCGAGGTGATTCCAGTACTCTGAATGAACTTGAGGTTAATAAACGATGGTGAA